ACTTCATCTTCACTTAGTTAAAAATAATAAACAGCTTTGTAATTGTTTTTATATACAGTTGACTATGCAAATTTCATTTTCAATATAAAAGTATTAAGAAAACCTGTTTGGTAATGGGTAACATTTTTTAGATTGTTTTCCGTACATTCACTCATGCTTCTGGTATAATTTATATAGAAAGCTCCTTTATTGTTGGGTTAAGCTTTTGTTTAAGAAGTTCTGCTATAATTCTTATGCTAATATTTTTCACAGATTCAATTCATCATAATGGAAAGCTCTATGTCAAAGCTCTTGTGTGACTTTTAAAATTTGCTTGTTTTGCAGCTTTTCTTTCCATAGAAAAGTTAAAATCCTTCCGCATTGTGAGAGCAGATAGTTTAACTATGTAATTTGAAAGAAAATAAATTTTACTGCTTAAAAAAATATTCATATTTTCCTAAAATTGAATTAGATACTTTTGCTATAAGGATAGTTTTTATTTTCAGGCTGCTATTACAGAATTTTCTTTGAAGAATGATGAATCTTTAGTTGACTTTTGTAGTATCAAGTGTATCAAATGTATACAGAATAGAGTATAGCCATATGTAGTATGTAGAGGCTTAATAAACCTTCACATGATGAGTATTTATGTCTTGGGCTGAAATCCATAAAAACTTTTCAAATTTTTAGTATATATACCTATTTTCTTAAATATTTAAAATTTCAAGACATTTTACTTTTTTCTTACTATTATTTGGATTACATACCTTTGGTATACAGGATAAGTTATCAATCCCATTTATAATTACATAATACATAAAATCAATATTCCCTTTTCTCTGTTCAGCTTGTGAAAATACACTTTTTCAATTTTCCATCTTAAGCTCATTTTGAAAGTTGTATGTTTTTGGCATTTCTGTTTTATTTACTAGGGAAAAAATTAAAAATTTAAGGACAATTTTATGTTCTTAGTATTATTCAATTATGCTGATTTATCTGCAACCCAAGAAAGAATGATGTACAGACAATGTTGGAATGACTAACCTTATAAAAAGTAGGAGTGTACCTCTTTAGTACCTGAAAGGACTAATTATAATACATGAAGCTCAGCTTGCAACTTTGATGTTCTGTGCTTTAAAAATAATGATAATATAGTTGTTCAATATAAAGAATGCATATTTTAGCTACAAGTATATATTAGGTCATAAATATAAAATGTCCACTTTTGACTTAATAGTTTATTATATCTCAAGAAACAATACAGTTAATCAAAGTATGTGCCTAAATTGTCGACATAGTTTTGCCATCTTAATGGTAGCTTGTTTATGCCAGCAGCAAAGAAGCCTGGATAGTGAATGGCGATGAAATCACAAAAGGCATTTTCCACAGCTTGTTGAGAATTGAATATTTTTCTTTTCAAGAAGTGATCCAACATCTGGAAGAAGTTGTAATCAGTTGGTGCAAGGTCTGGTGAATATGGTGGATGACAGGAGTTTCCAAGTCCAGCTGCTGTAGATTGAGCAGTGTTGTTTGTGCAACATGTGGTTGAGCATTGTCTTGCAAGAGGATTGGCTTGTCTCTGTTGACCAATCTCGGCTGCTTAATTGCAAGCATCCTCATCATTTCATCCAATTGGTTGCAGTAGACATCCACTGGAATCTGATTGACCAGGTTTCATGAAGCTGTAGTGGATAATACCAGCGCTGGACCACCAAACAGATGCCATTAGCTTTTTTTGGTGAATATTCGGTTTTGGATTGTGTTTCAGCATCTTCATCTGCATCCAATCATTGTGCCAAATGCTTGTGATTGTCAAAAAGAATCTATTTTTCACCACAAGTAGCAACATGGTGTAGAAATGATTCATCTTATGTCGTGACAGCAAAGAAAGGCGAGCTTCCAGACGATGATGCTCGTTTAATTCACATGGTATGCATTTATCCAGCTTCTTTACCTTGCCAATTTGTTTCAAATGGTCCCACATTGTTGGAACAGTAACATCAAACCTTGCTGCTAATTCACACGTAGATTGAGATGGAGTCGCTTCCACTACAGCTTTCAGCTCATCACTGTCCACCCTGGTCTCAGGTCGCCCACGTGGCTCATTTTTAAGATTAAAATCACCAGAACGGCACTTCTCAAACCATGAACATACCGTGCGTTCATCAGCCACATCCTTCTTAAACACTCATTGATGTTTCAAGCTCTCTGCACAGTGTTCGTTCCACGATGGAATTCAGATTCGAAAATAACACGAATTTTTGACTTATACATAGTTTCACAAAAATTGCTCTAAAAAAATTTTGAAATATAATCACAAGCCAAACCATGCATTTGAAAAAATGAGGATATACCTTCACAATAA